TTAGTGTTATTTATAAAGGCGAGGATTTCATAGATTGTAAAGTCCTTCAAGTAGGGAGAAAAGAAAAAAAAAAAAAGAAAAGAGTTCAGCCTTTGTAAAATGTGAGTAAACAAAGGTTGTAATGTTATTTACAAAGGCGAGGATTTAAGTCAAAAATTAGAAACATAATTAGCTAACGCGCTAACTGTTTCCTTAATATTCAAACACCCCAGTAGTGACCTTCTTAATTTATTGTATTTCGACCTCACGGTTGAGTTATAGGATACAAAAGTTCTTTCCCAAACAAGAGTCGGCTTGGGAGTGTGAGGAAACAGTGTARAGCAAACGCAGGAAAACCATGAAATAAAAACAAACTAAATACTAACAAATAGCGCCTATTTAGAGAGAATTTGTCAGTATTAATAAACCAGAACGAACTTAAACTATTATGAGACACTATACACAACAAACTATGAATCGATATAAATTAACAATTAAAAATGGTCTCATGTGGATTCATCTTGATTGTGTTCTGGTTCATTGATACTGACAAATTGTCTCTAAATAGCCGCTATTTGTGGGCATTTAGTTTGGTTTTATTTCATGGTTTTCCTGCATTTGCTCTATCACACAATGCTTACCGGAGAGAAGTAGATTGTGAAGTAAGTCTTGTCTGATGTCAATGTCACATTTCTTTATACATTTAAAGATYGATTCGTGGATTCCATCAATATCCTGTCCCAGCATGCCAGGCTGGAACAACGCTTCAGGGGCACGGAATCGTTCATTTCCAATACGCAATGAACTTCCGTCCGGTAACTACACAGATATCAATCAGCTATTAGAAATACTTGTAATTTATGTAACTAGTGAAAACGGAATATTTTCTGAAATGGAGAAAGAAAAATGAGAAGGGAAAGGAGGGGAGAGCAAGATATATAAAAGAGAAAAACGGGAAGGTAGTGATACAATGTAAGTTTTACGAGGCTAATTGTGAGAAAGGTATACTACTGCTTATATACGTCTCACTGATAATAAGGGTTACTAGGGGCGTAGCGAGAAATTGGGAGTTGGTGGCACATTGAATGTTCTTTTTTGAGGTAAGGGGAGTTGGCAAATATAGTAAAAAGCTCTAAAAATCGTACATCTTCAATACTCCAGTTTCTGTACACAAAGCAATGCATTACAATAGATTCGCTGCTGAATAAAAGAATATATTACATGCCTTCGAGGTTAAGGCTGCAAAGAAATATGACCTCGAAACTGGAGTATTAGATATTTAGTGACGTACTGTAGATTTTAACATAAATTCTATATATTTSATAATAACTGAGGTCCACAAGTTTATTAGTGGTTTCCACTATTTAATGCYAACAAAATTAAATAAAGTTTCTACAACTACAGTACTACTTAATCATACCGTATACAGCGCCTCGCAGTCATCRCTCGTTTCCGAYTCATCGAGCTCTCTTYCAAAATCCTGAGCAACATAACACAGCTCTTCTTTAGCATCACGTATAATCTCACGTTCAGCTGATGTTTTGAACGAGTACCCACGCTCAGTRAGAAGTCTTTGTAAAAARCTTGTAATATCTCGGCCTGCRAGATTCATTCTCTGCGTCGCGTGAGGCAGCATGTATCCTTCATAAACAGGGACAGTRTGACTAACGCCGTCCCCGCAATCAAACACAGTTCCAGTRGTTCGTCCCGAGGCGTAAAGTGCCATTACTGCCTGTACAGCGACGTAGACACATGGCACGTTGAATGTCTCGAACATGAGCTGGAGCATACGTTCYCTGTTTCGTTTAGGGTTGAGTGGAGCTTCGGTAAGCATRACGGGATAGTCTGAGGACATGACGCGAAGTTGGTCAAACGCATTCTCCCATACCTAGATGATAAGATGTTA